AATTATTAAGTTTTTCGAGTTCAATATTCGTTGTTTCAAAAAGTTCTGTAATTGACGGGGATGAATAAAATAAATTAGTGTCATCTGCAAACATTATGACATCAAGTTTGTTTGAGGCTTTCGGAAGATCATTAATGTATATTAAAAACAGTAAGGGAGCTAGAATGGAACCTTGGGGAACGCCACATTTGATCTTTAGCATTTTTGAACAGATATTTTCATCAGTATTTAAACATTGTTGTCTGTTTAGCATAAAGTTTTTAAACCAGAGTAATGCAACATTTTTTACGCCATATTTTTCCATTTTTTTGAGCAGGATTTCACGATCAACAGTATCGAATGCTTTTGATCTATAAAGATTCCTAGAACAAATTCATTATTATCAAATGAGTAGTTGATCCTATTTACAAGATCTATGATTGCATGTTCGGTTGCATGTTGTTTTTGAAATCCAAACTGTTTTTTATTTAAGATGTTATTGTTTGTTAAATATATGTACAGTTTATTATAAATTATTCGTTCGAGAAGTTTTGAGAATACAGGAAGGATTGAGATTGGTATATAGTTGTTTAGTAAATATGGTTCTCCAGTTTTATATATTGGTACAGTTTTTGCAATTTTTAATTTCTCTGGAACGGTTCCTGTTATAATTGAAGATTTAAATATTTCGAAGAGGGGTTTTTTTATTATCGGAAATATATTTATTACTACATTGCTACAAATTTCATCAATTCCTGGTGCTTTGTTGATTTTTAAAGAGTTTTTTGCATTTTCAAGTTCTTCATAGCTTAGTCCATTGAAAATTAGTTCGCTATTTAGATCTGTAAGGTAGTTTTCAAAGGAGTCATTTGTAGTTAAAATTTCAGACGCCATGTTTGGGCCTATGTTTGCAAAGAAATTGTTTAAGTGTTCGGCAATTGAGTTCTTATCATCGTGTTCGGTTTCATTTATAATGATTCTATCTGGTAAAATATTTGTTTTTTTGTTTTTTTTCCCGATTATTTCTTTCATAATGTTCCATGTTTTTTTCATGTCTCCATTTGTTTTTTTAAGTAATTTAGAGTAGTAAATTTTTTTAGAATGTTTTTTGATTTTTTCGAAAAGATTTTTGTATTGTTTATAAGTAGATAGGTTAATCTCATTTCTGTTTTTCAAATATTTAACATATAGTTTTTGTTTTGTTTTTGAAGATTTTTTAATACCGCTGGTGATCCATGGACAGCTCAAATATTTTACTTTGATTTCTTTTTCTTTGATTGGAAAATGATTATTGTAGTGCTTTAGAAAAATATCTGTAAAAGTATTATATGCAGAGTTTGTGTTCCCAAGGTTACATTCTTGATACACTTTAACCCAATCTACTGCCGATAGTGTGTCTTTAAAATTTTGAATTGAAAATTTATTTATTTTTTCTTTTATAAGTTATTTTTTTCAAATTATTATTTACTCTTGTATCATTTTTTATTGTAAAGTAAATTGGAAAATGATCTGTTATATCAATTTTTACTATTCCTGCTTTTAAGGAGGTATCTAGAAATGAGTTTGTTCGTATGTTATCTATGGCAGAAATAGAATTTAAGGTTACCCGTGTCGGTTTATTAATAATTGGTAAAATACAATGTTGAAACATGTTATCAAAAAATAATTTAGTAATCGGAAACTCATTGTATTTTAAACAATCTATGTTGAGGTCCCCAATACAGATTAACTTTTTTTGTTCTTTATTGATTTTGAGAAAAATTTCTTCTAGATATTTAGAAAAAGTTTTAATATTACCTTCAGGTGGTCTATAACAGGTAGAAACAATAATATTTTTAAACTTGGAGTTTATGATTTCTATTGTAAAGACCTCACTATCGGCATTAGAAATGGAGTGGTCTTTTCTTACTTTTATTGCTTGATCATTCCGAACATAAGTTGCAATCCCTCCTCCTTTTTTGCATGTTTTTCTTTCAGAAGATATTAATTTATAATTGGGAATTTGAAAGTTAGTGTAATTTTGGATTGATTCGTCAGAACACCAAGTTTCTGTTAGACAAATCATACTAAATAAGTAATTACAATCAATTAGGAAGTGCTTAAGCTTGTCAAAATTTTTATTTATCCTTCTTATATTTATGTGAATTACTGTAAAATTATTTTTAATAATTTCAAGTTCAGTTTTAAAAGTTTCAGTTTTAACATATCGAGAATCAAAATTATTCATTTGAAAAATATGCGTATCAGCGTCAATGAGTATATTATTAGCAGTTTCGAAAACATTAAAGCGCATTGATTCAAAATCTATTGTTTTGTTGTTCATTGTTTTAAAATTTAAAATTGAAAACGCGTTTACTTAGTTAAAAAAAAGTGTAGCGCTATTTTTTAAAATCTCGTGTAAATATTTTATCATATTTTAAAATGGCGTATTTACCTTCGCTTCTTAGTTTTTTTACTTCTTCCCATAACTTTCTTCGATGATATATTGTTTCTTGAGCGAAATCTTCATTTATGTATAGTCCAGTTCCTTTAAGTTGTTTTACTGCTTTGAGAATTTTGTTTTTGTCTTGGTAGTTCAAGAGTTTTAAGACTAATGTTCTTGGTTTGTTTTCTTTAAATTGTCCGATTCGATGAGCTCGTTCGACCACCACTTCACTAGGTATTTTCAATAGTGTTTTGAAAATAGTGTCTTTAACAGCTTTTTCGCAATCTTCCCAACTTTCGCCTGGTGTTTCTTGTAGCCCATCAATTCTTAAGTTGTTCCTTCTTGATCTATTTTCTAGATCTATAGATTTTTTATATAATGAATTGATTTCTTTGTCATAGTATTTCTTTATTTGTGATATTTTTTCCGAGATATCATTTTCTTGAAAATTTAGGCTGTCTTTAATGTCGCATAAGTCTTTTTCTATATTTGATATTTTACATTTGTTGTTATTTATGTCTTTCTCTAGCATGTCCAATCTATCTGTAATAATTTTGAGATTTGCACTGATAATTGAGGTAAATGATTTTTTCTGGTCTTTTAATAATCTTTCCGTTTCTTTTAGGATACTTTTTTTGTGCTCCTCAAGTTTACTTGAGATTATTTTTTCAATGTTTTTTATTGTGATGTCCATTTTTTTTTTTTTTTTTTTATAAATGCTTAATCTACGCTACAAAAACACGTCTGTTCACTTCACGCAAGTCACGCCAAAAATGACAAAAACTCTTCGCAACTAACGCCACTCCACGCAAATAACGCAAATAACTAACTCCACGCAAATAACGCCAAAAACTCTTCAAACAATAATTCAGAAGACAACTCATTTGAACCAATGCAATTATCCATGGGTACTAGAAAATCAGAAAATGAAGTTTGGTCTTAGGGACTTTTTTGTTAAATTCTTGAGCTATAGATCTTGGTTGATATAAACTTTTGTTATCGACTCTAACCATTTGTGGCAGAAAACCCGAGCATAATTTTATTTTCAAATAATTTCTTTCACAATTTGCCATATGCGTTTTACATCTTTTTTAAATGTATTAAGTAATTGGGAGTAATAATTTTTTTTTTTTAAGTTTTTGCGAATTGTCAAATAAATTTTTGCAGTCCTTTCGCTTGTAGGTGTTTTTGTTTTCAAAAAGTTTATATATAGTTTCTGTTTGATTTCGAATGATTTTTTGAAGCCTTTGGTAATCCAGGGGGTATTGCATTTTATTAGTTGTTATTTTATTTTCAACCATTGTGAAATTAACATCATACAGAAAAAAAGTATTTTGAAAAATGTCTCAGATATTATTATCATTAAAATTTATGTTTCTAGTGCAGACATGGTAGTTGATTTTTGAATAATTTAACATTGGCCTCATTATAAATGCGTTTTCGAATTACCTTTTGTGTGGTTATAATTTTTTCACAGTTTTTATTATCTAAGTTTAGTAATATAGGGAAATAATTTTATATACCGGTTCGCAAAATAACTACTTTCAAATCAATATTGAAAATATCTGAAGTTATAACATTATCTACTAGAGTTGCTGAGTTTACTGTCACTCTTGTTGGTTTGTTTATTAGACATATTGAACCCGTTTTGATAATTGTATCATTAAAATTTTTAACTCCAAGGTCATCATTATAAAGAAAACAATTCATGTCTATTTCTCCAATTATAAAGTTTTGCTTTTTTTTTTTTAATGATTTGTTGTAAAAACATGCTAAGGTTTTCACTCAGGGTTAAAAAAAGCTTTTAAAAAGGTAAACAAATGAAACAGGTTTCTAATTTCTATTAGTCTTTTATATAATATTTTGTTCAAAATATTATATAATCATGGCTATGTTGCCTTTTTTAAATAATGCACTTTGAAGCACACGTTCTCAGATTTTTTTTTTTAAATTTGTTCCATTTTATACACGTAACTATTCTAAATGCTTCATCAAAGTTTCATTATGCCTTTTTTATTAGTTATAGCAGCATAAAAAGGTTTTTTATTAGTTATAGCAGCATAAAAAGGTTTTTTTATTAGTTATAGCAGCATAAAAAGGTTTTTTCTGCTTACTTTAGGATTAAAGTAACTGTTGTTATTACAACAATAATTGATCGAAACCTTTTTTTTTTTTTCATAATTTATATTTTTAAATTGTTAGTTTATATAAAAAGTTATTTACTATTATATTCAAAAATAGAGGGTGATACACCTTTAAAGACTTCATCTTTTAGTTATATTTTTATTTATATATATTGCTCAAAAAGGTTTAAATTTAAAAAAATGCTCAAAATTTTACTTTTCTGAATTCTTGATTATTGTCAATTGTTGACAATTAAGAACTTTCAAAATCCAACAAATAGAAGTAATTAAATGAGAAATCGATGCTTTAATCAAACAAGAGGATTAATATCCTCTTCTAATCTGCTTATCGGAGTTATTAAATTTATTTTAAATTGAGGTTATTTCAGGTAAAAGTATCAAACCCGACATGGTGGTAAGGCTTACACTAAGACAACCGATTAATAATAAATGCGAAGAAAAAAAGCGATTAATTCATATCAACGCATTCGTTATGTTACAAGCTTCCGTCAATACTACATACATATTAAAATATCTAACTTATAGTCTAATTAAGTATAGAAACAGACCGAATAAATTTTATTTGCTTTAACTACGGTATTATATTTTTAAAAGAAAAAGTGTAACGTAATCGAATAATATACGCGAAGTAAAATTCTTCATATAGTAGGTTTATTTGTACAGCAGCTACTTTTTAAAATTTGAAACAGGTAAGCATGTTTCGCGCTGATATGTATTTTCAAAAACAGTAATTTAGATTTTTATAACCTAACTTCTTTGTAAGTCGATGTTACACATTTGCTAGCGTTGCACCTTACTGTGGAGAGTCGGAGATGTTAGTGCGACTATCTGAATCAGAGCTAGATTGTTCATCAAATTCAGTCATGTTTTTGTGTACCTTTCCATACGTTATATCTTTTTTAACTTGATGTTCTGTATGAAATCCGCCTTCGGTGCCTTCTAACACTTCACCTTCTTCTACGGTATCATTGGCAGAAATTTTTGCCTCTATGATAAAATAAATAATTTTTACCTCTATGATAAAATCAATATTTAATGACAAGCACGATACTTTATAATTCAATGGAGATATAAAATCTAGATTTAGGGATAACTTTTTTACATATGTTTATAATACTAAGATAAAAATTAAAATTTCATATAGAGATTGAGGACTGTATTTAGAATTTAAGTAAAGCCAGGCACAAGAAACTACCGACTTACTAATATAAACGTTACTTTCTGAAAAAAGTCTGAATTTAGAAGCTCATTTCAAAAATTAAAGTCTTAAGGATATATTAACTAAATTTAGTACGGTGTAGACCTTGCATATATTTTTACTTATTATTATTTTAAGAAACAATACTAAACTGATTGAGTTGACTTTAACGGGTTTTATTTACGCTATAGGAGTTTTTAACAAATTTTAATAACTAAAAAAAAAGTAAGAAGCGGTTCGTAGTGGTTACTATTGTAATAGTGAAAGTGAAAAATATACTTTTTTAATTTAAGTTTAGACATTAATAACTTATTCAGACGTTTTTACAATTTCATTTAGTATAACTTGTTTAGTCTGAGTCTATAATATTGGCAAATTATGGATGATAATAACAAATCACAACTTATTCAAACTTTTGCATAAAAATTAAATGTAAAAAATCTCAGTAAAAAAATAAACTAATAACCTAATTTTTACTTTTAAATTTTTTACCTCTAGTATAAATGCTAAAAGATCCATCGTCCCCATTTGTATTATTTTTATCATTTCGAAGATCTCGACTTGAATCTCTTTTATTGTCCCTACTACGACTTCTACGACTTTTACTACTGCTGTGATGTTCACGACTTCGACTTCTTCGACGATCTCTACTCCGACTTCTGCGTCGTTCTTGACTATGACTCCTCTTTCTACGACGATCTCGATCTCGACTTCTACTTCGCCTATACCTGATTTGAAAAAATAATTTTAACCTAACCTCTTACTTTTAAATGTCAAGTTTAAAATTATATTTCAAAGTGAAGGATTTTAGAGCCAATTTCAACAGTAGTTTTATTGAAGGATGACTTATCATATAAAAATATGAAAGATAACAAATAGTAAGCTTATTTCTTTTTAAAAACTAAATTCGACACATCTTAAAGCATCTAATAAAGGTTATTATGAACACAGCATACAAAAATAAAGGGGAAATTTAGAATAAAAAGGCACCGAAAAATGTAAGAGCATGAATCAAAGCTCAATTTCTTTATTTCTTAAATCTTAAGAAAGTTAAAGGACATAAGTTCAACAGTCCTGGTGATCCTGTAATGCCATTTAACAAATTTGACTAAGTTATATATATATACACATTTGCCAACTTTTTTTTGCTGACTAAAAATCAATTTATTAAAAAAATAAAAAAATGAAGTATAATGAATAAATGATTGCAAAAAAACAAACAAACAATAAAATGGCAATTTCTTGCATGTTATCCCTAAGATAGTCAGCCAATGTGCGTACACACCACACTAAATAGCGGGTAGTCAATCCCGAGAAAACTAGGCAACATTTTAAATCATTTTACTTTTTAATATTTCTAGAACGTATATTATTAAATTAAACATAAAATAATTCAAAACCTGGTAGGAAAGTTACCAAACTCTTCATTATCTTAATGAAGAGAGTTAACCTTTGTTGTTTCAAGGTGGCAAGATAGTAGGAGTGTTGGTTTTCAGGGCTGCTTTAACTTTAACATTGTAATTTTGTAAAACATTTATACAGGCTAAATTAACCAACATACCTCTATATAGATGCTAGGAAACTACACGGCTCATCACGAATCCATTTTTTTTTTGAGAAATAATTTAAACATAAAATAATATTTTTTAAATTTTTATATAATTTTGCTTTTCCTATTTTTGAACCTTAATAACTTTCGATGTAGTTTCTGATCAAATTGACCATGTCTTTTTTCTTTACCCCTTTGCCAATATTGTTGTTATTGATGAGCATTTAAGTCCAATATTGGACTTAAATGCTCATCACACTGAATTGCTTGGCTCTAATGCCACTGACCCTGCTGTCACTAAACCTATAACTTCTGTATTTCTCAATCTTTTACTCAGATAATTAACTTGTTTTCCAACTCTAATCACTAGCCTTTACACATTTGATGTATGTCTTGCCTCAGACCCTAGCTTGTGTTCAGTTTCTCCTTGTTCTCCTTTAGATGGTTCTAACCACGCAATGATCTCTATAAACCATTCAACTTATACTTTATCTTTAGACCTACAACATCAATGCACTACTTACTACAAACCTAAAGCTGAATGGGATTCATTTCATGATTATTTTTGTGGCAGTCCTCGGGCTGATGTATTTTCTTTCTGCTGATAAATGCACCTCCTAAGTAACCTCCTGGATCTAAGTAACCTCCTGGATCTAGGCAGAAATGGAAGCTTTTATTCTATCATTCTAACCTTTAGCTCTAACATTTTATCTCTCATTCATGAGACAGCCAATCTTGAATTTGATTTCACTTCTGTGACAGATTGGGGCTCATGAATTTTAACTCCAAACAATTATCACAACACTGTTGACATTCCTATATTGATGAATGGCAACCCTCTCATCGAGTCCTCTTCTTTACATCTTCTTGGATTATCATTTACTAATAGAAATCATATAATTGATTGCTAAGTTTGCACCTACTAAGGTTACTTCTCTTTATTATGCTTGTCATTTTCTTACTCCTGATTCCATTCTCTTTCACTACAAACCTCTTATTCACCTCTGTATGAAATACTGTTGTCATATTTGAGTTGATTCTTCTAATGATGCTTTTTTCATTTAGACAAGGTTCAAAAAGGTAGTAGGACCTGCTCTACCTACCAAGCTTGAGCCTCTCTCTCATCGTTGTAAAGTTGTGCCTCTTTTTCTTTTTTACAAATACTATTATGGTTGCTGCTTAAAGGAGCTATCATCTTTAGTCCCATCAACCAAAACGCATTATTGCTTGACTCAACATTTAGCAAAGCCTCATCCTTTTACTGTACCTGTCCCTGTAAGCTATAAAAACTTTTTGCCTGAATTTTTTACTCACACTTCATCCCTTTGCAACTCTCTCCCATCTTCCTGATTTCTTCTCCCATTTTCCTGATTCATACAATCTACAACTTTTCAAGCCTTCTGTCAACCGTTTCTTTGCTCTATTCTTTATTTTCTAGTAACTTCCAACTTGATAGTGGTTGCTTGTGGCCTTGTTGAGAGTGATTTAGAAAAAAAAATTGTTTTACTATGTTCAGAAAAAATAAGCATAGTAAGCAGATATAATATTTATATATATCATATTTATACACACACACAAATTATTTTTATTATAAAAGATAATGAAAGTTCTGTGTATCGACATTTTCTTTGCCCTAAGTAAACTTGAAAACAGTAATGCATCAAAAATAATAAACCAACTTAATTCTTAGTCAATTAAAAAGAGATTATGGTGAATAAAATTTGTAAATAATTTAATTAGGATTTTAGTGACTATAACAAAAATTTTATGTTGTTAATACTTTAAACAATGATTATAACAGTTTTGTAAAAATTTTTAGTTGTTAAAAGTTTTAGCTGCTGCAGTATTAGTTGCTAATTTAATCATTAGAATTTATTTAAAATAATGTATTGATTCAAATAATCAAAAAACACTTTTAAAATGTCTTAATGTGTATTTATTGCATAAACCTTAAATTATAAAATCACTCATGGTTTATGCAATAAATAGTTTCAAATTGTTTTATTTGGTTCAACTTTTGATTTTATTTATTTATTAAAAAAAAAAAATGAAGTTGAAGGATTATGAAGAAACTAACTTTCTTACCAAGTCGGAATGTTCAAAAGGTGCTAAAGTTCAAATTTATGTTATTATATTAGTTAAAAATAGTTTTGAGCTAAAAACATTTTTTTTTTGAAAAAAAAAAAGTGAGCAATTTAGTTAAAAAAAAAGAAAATATAGTTAAATAGCTAGTTTTGACTTGTGTAACTATATACAACTTATATGCATAACTTATATGGTAATAAGTTAAAGGTAATAAAATATAGTTAATAAATTACCTATCATGATCTTTACTACGTCTATCACTTTTCCTATCGCGAGGTTTTTCTGTCTCACGTTCACGGTCTGACCTTGAATTTTTATCTGATCTTCCATCTCGTTCAGATCTCATATCCCTATCTGATCTTCCATCTCTTTCAGATCTTATATCTCTATCTGATCTTCCGCTTCGTTCTGATCTCATATCCCTATCTGATCTTCCATCTCGTTCTATATCTCTTTCGCCTCGACGCTTTTGTCTTTCTAACTCACGAGATTCACGCTTTTTTTGTACTATCTCCTGTCAATATAAAATATCAACATACAAATTTTTTGCAACAAGAAATACATATAGGTAAATAAAACTACAATTAAATACCTCAAGTTCAGTTAGTCTCTCTCTAACTCTAATAAACCCCATATGAAGTCGCCCACCAAAATGATCCGCAAGACGTCTATCATTATCATATAAACTCAGAAATGCAGCACATATTTCACAGACACGTAACTTTTGCTGTTGATTAGTTGTAGCTGGTACAGTATTTCTGTAAATATCCTGCATACAGAAAATTTAATTTTTAATTAAAATATTTGAAATTTATTAATACATAAATTTTATCAAAAGAAAAATTTGTTTTTTTCATTATAAAAGTATAAAAACAAAATGGAAATTTCATTTGATCTAACAAAGATTTAATTAAATGTAAACTAAATGTAGTTAAAATATAAGATACAGCTCATGAAAAGAAAATATGAAACAATATTTAAGCAAGCGTTAATTTTTGTAAATAAATAAATTTGTAGGGTACTATTTAAAAGATAATTTTTAAAGTTGGAAATGCGGGGATCCCACATTTTCTTAATCATAGAATTCAACTAAGTAAGAGTAAAATGAAAAATAGCTTACAACTACCTTAATTTTTTTAAAATTACTTTTAATTGATCATATTATAATTTAAATTTCTGCGGTTAATATTTGACTATTTTAGAATTTTAGAATACATCGTAAACTCCTGATATTTCCTTTTTTGTTCAGTTGCAATCAAATTGAAACTTTATAAATTCAAAATTCTTGCAAATATGCTTTTGAATATTGTAATTTGCAAATAGATTCTTAAAAGTCTTAATATTTCTTGGTACTTAGCCACATTTATTCAAGTTTTCTTTCAATTTTTAAATCGAATAGACATTATTGTTTCATTGTTTGTGACAATGAAACTTTGGATGTGTTCTGCTTCCTTAAAACTTATTTTCAAAAAAATCAAAAATAAGTACATATGTATGATGTATCCATAAAAACAATCAAACCAATCATAATTCAATGACTAAATATAATATGTATAATTTAAAAAACCAAAGAATTAACAGATAATTATTAAATAATATTTATTAAACCTTTTTTTCAATGTATTATGTTATTAATTTTTTCAAATTTTTGTAATAATATGTTGATATCTTTTAAAAACAGGTATGTAAAAATCCTAGAATCCTAGGACTAGGTAAATGTAATACCGAAATCCTGGAAATTAAAATATAGCACTAGATTACAAACCCTATTTTAAAGCTTATTTTCTGCTAATAGTGACAATAGATATGTTAACAAGACTCTAGCCAAAAATAATTTGTTACTAATATTGAGTGCATAGGTATGCTAGCCCATTTTATGCAAGACTCTCACATAAGCAAACATAAAAAATGTTTCATTTATCATAGAAACTTTGGCAAATAAAATTGCTAAACATTTAAATTGATTTCTGCAAATTAAAGTTCATTCATTTATCAGTTTAACCATAGAATTATAAACAAGCTGGAATTTCAAACAATTAAAATGTGTCAGAACATAGCAAAGAACTAACATTTTGTTTTTTAAACAAAAGATACCTACTTTTAAACTTTACATAGATACATTGACTACTTTTAAACTATACTTAGATACTTTTATACATTGAAGAAAGCAGTTATGTGAAGGTTAATTCAAAAACATAATACTTTGGTGCATTTCTACTCATTATATAAGAAATTAAAAATATAATTTTATTTTTTATTCAATTATTAAAAATTATGCTTACAAAAATATTGAGCATACAAAACAAACCAATTAGAAAACAATATAATGAGGTTTTTTTTAATAAAGGAGCTACATCGCCTTCATTAAAAATGTACCTTAACAATTTTTTATAAATTATGATTTTTTTTTTTTTTAGATTATTTAATTATTTTAAAAGTACATCATAATATTAAAGTTTACGATAAGTTACTAAATACATAATCAAAATATAATTAATTTTTACATTTACATTTTGCACATATTTTTTTTTTTATCAAAAGTATTTGAACATAAGCTATCAAATTACTTAATCATTTCAAAAAAATAAACAGCCATCAAATTACTTAATCATTTCATTAATTTTATTAAAGCCAACAAATTATTATTCAGCCAACAACAAAAATTATTCACTTTGTGAAGTTTCATTAAAAACAATATTTTTTTTTTACCATTGATGCACTGCAAAAGTATATTTTAGCTTGAATTGTTCTTTTTTCTATCATGAAATTTAAAACTTTTTTGGTATAATTAATTTGCAAAGGTATGAAATAATACATTAATACACAATTAATGAATTGTCACATTGTTAGACTTTATATAGCACATCACATAAAGCCTGGATACCATGTATAAATAATATCTTGTAATAATACCAAAATAATGTCATTATTATTAAAAAATCTAAAAAAAGCAGGTTTCTTTCTAAACAGTCTATAAGTACACAAACTATATTCATATGATTTTTTAATGATCCCTACTTCATTTTATGAGTATTTTAGGTTCAAAGCAATAAAATTTTTAACAAGTTAATACCCCCATTCATTTCTTTCTATTTGCTAAAAACATATGTTTATTCAATATAAAACATCAATTTTCGTAAACTTTCAAAAAGTTAAAGCTCACTTCAGCTTTTCTTTTATTTTGTTTTAACTCTTCAACTAGTTTGAGCATTTCCATTGATTCTTCAACTTTACCATCAGCACCTAGGTTTAAATAATAAAAATGGTTGAAATTTTAAAAATATTCACTATTGCCGCAAAACAAAATGATATATATCATACATAATTAAACAAATACCAAAAAAATCAAATGCTAATTGAAATTTCATAATGATAAAACATATTAAATGTAAAAAATATTTTCATTATGTAAGTAGAAAATCATATCGTAGAAAATTGAAAATATATAATAAACTAAATAACTAAATAACTGCCTTCATGAGAAAAAATATATCTACCTAGTTGTTCTGCTTCTGCTAGTTTAACTCCAATTTGTTCATTTAGTTCATGGACTGCAAGCGCTTCTGGACCAAGTGATTCTGAATCTTGAGTTTCTTCTAGTCGCCGTTTATTCACAGCAACTTTTCTATCACAATCAGAAATGAATTGTCGAACTTGTTCCAATTGCTATGCAGAATTAAAAACCATTAAATATAAATAAATTATAAAGGAAGCAAATTCCAAAGAACTAGATAAATAAGAGTTTTTGGAGCACTTAGGAACAGTCACAGAAAATGGATGAGACTTAATTGAATGACGAGTAATACAAGAATGAATTTTAATAGATGACACAAGAGATGCTAGCTCTTTAGAGCAGTGCCCATTAAAGTTTTATAGAAAAGAGAAAGAGAAGCAACATTACCACGATGTAACAATGGTTGAAGGTTGGCTGAAAAAGCAGGTCCAACTATGTTTACATTGCGTTTTTACACCTTGTCTAAAAGAGAAAGGACATCATTAGAAGATTCGCCTCAGATATGACAATGGTATTCCACACAAGGACAGATTTGATATTTATAGAGATAAAGAATAAAATCTAGAGTAAGAAAGTCTCAAGCTTGATAAAGAGATGCAACCTTAGTAGATGGTAATTTTGCAATGGATTTGATATACGGTTTCCAAGAAAGATCAAAAGGAGTTAATCCTAGAAGATGAAGGGTAGATGACTCATTAAATACATTCATAAATATAGAAAGGTCTAAATTATTGCGATAACGATTGGCTGAAAAAAAAAATTGAGTTTTGTCTGAATTAAAGTTCACCAATCACTGTGAGCCCCATGCTGTAGCAGAAGTGAAATCCTTTTCAAGCTCAAATGCCCCCTCCAAGCAATCAGAGATTGCTTGGAGGGGGCATTTGTTGGCTTCTTACCATGACAAGAATAAATGGTAGTATCATTAGCAAATAATTCAACCTTAGGTGTGAGAATATCTGGAAGAGTTTAAGTTAATGTAAATTAAAAACTTTAAGTTAATGTAAATTAAAAAGAGTATAGGGCCAAGGATTGAACTTTGAGGAACCCCTAAACAGGATATGAAGAAGAGTGCTGTCCATCAAGGACAACTTTTATACTAAGATTGGAAAAGAAGGATTCAATAATCTTAAAGATGTTACCAGATACACTGTAAGAAGAAAGTTTATGCAGAAGACCAGCATGCCAAACTTTATCAAAAGCTTTAGAAATGTCAAAAGCGATAGCCTTAACCTCTCCACCTTTATCTAATGCACGATAAAACCTATCAGTTATTACTGTTAGCAAATCAGTTGTAGAACGAGAAGGTCAAAATCCATATTGATGATCAGAAAGTAAGTTATCAGATTCAAGATAAGAGATTGCTTGTTAATTAAAGATTCAAAAACCTTGCTTATGATAGGAAGACTAATGGGGCAGAAGTTAAACAAATCAGATTGCTCTCCAGAATTATTGAAAATAGGGATAACAGATAGTGCTTTCCAGCAGGCTGGAAAACAAGACTCTGATAAGCACTTGTTAAATAGTTTAGAAAGTATGGATGAAAGCTCCGGAGAACACTTCTGCAAGACTATAACAGGTATGTTGTCTAAGCCACAAGCTGTAGAAGAGTCTAAGCAAGAAATCACTTTAGATAGAGAAGCTGGAGTGATACAATGTCAAGCAATGGATCAACCAGTTAGATGGCTATATCAGATAGAATGCAACTGGTGAAATCAAGAGATGATATCGATGAAAAGTTCGATGAAATAGTATTAAACTAAATAACACCAAAAGAACCAGGACCTATTCTAGGAAAAAAATTTGGGTTGCGGGACCTCCTGTTCTGGCAAAATTTAGCGGGAAATCAGTGTTTTTTTTTTAAAAAAAAAAAAAAACTATACAAACCAGTCCTCAAATTTTAATTTGGGCAGCGCCCAAATATGGTCAGCAAAAACGGTCTAGAATAGCCCCTGAGAGCATAATTTCAAAACTGGAATGTAAATTGTAAAAAACTGCAAAATTATTGATTCTTAACAAATAGCCTCATTAATGTGGAATAAACTACCTGGCTTCATCGTTAATGTGGAATAAACTACCTTTCTTTCATCATTAAAAGTGAAAACCTAAACCTTAAAACTTACATTGATAAATATTTGAAGCTATTTAAAAAACAAAACAGAAACTCTAATAAGATATTTTAAAATATATCTTTTTTCTATCTGAAAAAAGATATATTTTAAAATATCTTATTAGATATTTTAAAATATATCTTTTTAGAGTCTTCATGTTTTCCCCTTAACAAAAGTCAGATTTTAATGTTTTGTATTAACTTAAGTATAATTTTTTATTGGTTGATTTTAAAATTACCATGCATAATTTTTGTACTTTATTATTATTTAATAACTTTATATTTATAATTTTGAGTTAACTGGTGTTTGAACAAGCAACTATTTATTATTAACTAATTATTGACAAATATTTTTTTTCCAGTCGGAAATTTATTGTTTTGTTTTTTCATTAATTTTTGCAATATGCAAAATTGACGTTTTCATTAAAACAGTATACACAGCTTTTATTAAATAGAAATATTATTTTATTATTTAAAACAGAAAGTTAATACTAATTCACCAGTAACAAATAAAATCATCTATTTTAATGAAACTCATTTTTCAAATCATGCAGGTTGCATTGTTCAACAGACCTGCAACATATTTTAAAAAACTTTTTGTGTTCAAATTTATAGAAAACATTTAACTTGACAAATGTTTCTTAAGCAACATTTAAAAATTAATTGACAACAATGCATTTAAACAAGACAAACCTCAACTTCATAGCCATAATCTTTATTCTTCGCAGCTAACTCATAATCTGCTTTTAGGGCTGGATCGTGCACTTTACTACATGTGCCCAAATCAAGTTTCTAAATCAAACTAAAAAAATTAACCAATAAATCCAAATGTTGTTTCTACCAACATATTGATATTTTTACAAATTTATCATAGAAAATAGATATTCAATAGATATAAAATAAAAAAATATATAAAATAGATAAAAATAGATATTCAAATAGAATGAAAATCAAAAATTTTCTAAAAAAAAAACTTATAAAAAATCATTTCCTTAATCATAAAATATATTAAAATAAACCTTAAAATAATTCATATTGTTATAATAAATATAATAGTAATTAATAATTCATATCGTCATAATAAATATAAAATCTTGCAAAAACGCATATCCCTCAGTTAATATATATGGTATAAATAAATACAATGATATTGGCTCTGCTATAATCTTTATGGAGCCAAGAATAAGACTCCTTATCATTGAATACAATGAAAAAATAAAAATCTTTCCTAATAATATTTGAGATAAAATTAAAAACTTCTAATGATGTATTTTTTTATTATCATTGATTTTTAAATAAACCAAAACCAACTGAGAAGTGAAAAAAAATTTGGAATTGAGAAAAACTTCAAAACATATTTCTAAAACTTCAAAATATATTTCTAAATTATTCTTGATTTATTTGTATGCAGGGATACACACACAAATATTTTTTTATACTTAAAAACCTTAAAACATATTTTAAAAAATTTGCATACCTTACTTGATTTAAACGTTCCCTAAAAAAAGAGATTTTATCTAATAATAAAAAATCAAAATAAGTAAAAAGTAAATAAATTAAAAAGTTAAGAAAAATTATTATACTATATAAGTTTTTGGACATAAAAATCAAAAGTTTTAGTAAAAAAACTTTTACAAATTCTCGCCTTAAAATTTTACTCAAAACCTCAGATATTAAAAAAAAAAAAGTTTTTTATGATTTCTTACAGCACCGTTCACCTTTGGCACTCGATTTGTCCCTGTAATAAAATAATATAAAGCATGAATTCTTGATCTACTTATGGTACAAAGGTGAACTATGAATGAACTGTTTACTTAGCTATATTTTAACTTGTAGATCAAGAAATCACTTTTAAAAAAATTAACCCTACTTACTGTATTATGAAACAAATCATAAGGACATAATCCCATAAGAAAACTCTTGCAAACTGAAGGGCTATCAAACCTCATAGAATTTCCATCTTGAATACCTGAAAAATCAATAAAGTAAATTTTAAAAAGCAATAGTAGAAACTTTTCTTATATCTAGGCAATTATAGGGTAAATTCTGAATATTTGCATTTTTGTATATGTATACCTACAATCACAATCATATCATAATTGCATAAGCCACTTTTGAGCAAGTAGTTAAAAAGTATAGTTTACATACTTTCTATATTATAGTTTAAGCAACTTTTTCATAAAACAATAAAACGGTTTTAAAATTCATTTTTATTTGTATTACATTTGTTATTTTTTTTTTTTAGTTCTCTTTATCATAAAAAAATAACTTAGGTAATTATGATATAAACATGATAATATACTTTCTTAAATCCATAGCATGTGAAATAACTCATGCAGACTTATATCTGTAACACATTAAATAACTTACATGCTTGCTAAAATCTGTAGCATGTAAGATGCTTCCATCCATTTATGTAAATATATGAAAATAAAATAATCTAACTTCTATCCTTACATATGAAAACTTTGTATAACTATTTTTATATTATATGGCAGAATAGCTCAATGTACAATATGATTTATAATTTATAATTTAGTGTAAATGTAAAATTAAAAAAAAAAAAAAAACGAAAAGTTGACACTGCATAGATGCACTGCACCTGCGATATCTGAGAGTGGATCAGACCTCAACATTTGTTCATTTAAAAAAATGTAACTTTTTTAAAAAAGTAGTTTCACAAACTTACATTGACTTTTAAAATGAAAATTACGATATATAATTCATTTGATGCTATTGTATATTTGATTTCCCATACAAAACTGGTAGATGCCACAATGATGTGAAGATCACTCAAATTGTGACTAATTTCTATACAATCCATACAATCAGAGACTGAAGCCACTATGGTCTTGGTAAAATTTGAATGACATATATTGTTGACATGTAAAGATGTCTCTTTAACTAAAGTTATCACTTTGGTTTTAATCAAATAATTCCATGAGAATATATTTATCAGGCCAACTTTCTAAAATATTGCTAACCATACATAAAATATCAAAAAATGCTAACCCAAAAAATCTGAACTACAAAAAATATATAAGTAACTCTGTGAATTTTCTTCTACTAGCAAATAATAGTTAAAATCAGAGATATAAACATTTAAAAACTAATTAGTTATGTTAAAATAAAACGACATATGTAAAAAAAATCGCAAAAGCCCAAAAAGTCACTCTTACCACTAATACTTACATTTCCCACTGAAAAGTATATGAATAAATCAACAACAATTTGACTTTAGTATGTGTGATCATGGTTCAGATCAACACAATGAATCTGCACAAAGCAATATTGAAATTATAACTAAGAAAATTTAACTTTTCTTGACAGGAGAAATAATAGTTTTCTGTATATATTTATATATATAAACAAAAAACTTATTTCTTAGTATTTAATACGACTTTTTATTAAATAGTTTTAATAAAATTTTATTTTCTGATTTAACTACTTTTTAACAATCTTTAATCAACCAATCATTTATGTACTAAATATATTATTTGATTGCATAAATGTTAAGTTTTATGTATTTTTAAGACTTAATCATACAAAAAAATTACCATGGTGCAAATATATATATATATATATTCATTATATATATATATATATATATATATATATATATATATATATATATATATATATATATATATATATATATATATATATATATATATATATACATATATATATTTATATATATATAATATATATATATATATATAATATATATATATATATATATATAATATATATATATATATATATATATATATATATATGTAATATTTATATATATATATATATATAATATATATATATATATATATGTATAATATATATATATATAATATATATATATGTATAATATATATATATATATATGTATAATATATATATATATATAATATATATATATATATGTGTATCATATATATATATATGTATAATATTATATATATATATATATATATATATATATATATATATATATATATATATATATATATATATATATATATATATATATATATATATATATATATATATATATCAGGCCTTCTCGTAAGAGGCAAGCGATCGCACGCCTTAAATAACCATGCAAACAGTTCTTTGTTTTAACAACTTGACCATGGCTCATTGCAAGTTTTGATAATTAGCGCATTTAAAAATTCCGCTAAAAAAAAACAAAGCAAATTAAAATAAACAATCCATAAACTGAAAAGAGAATAAAATCCTCAAAATAATATAAATAACAAAAATTAACCTAAAAAAATGAAATATTTAAAGAATGATAAAATAAATAAAGGAAAAACCAGAAAAAAATCAAAACATGTATTAATTAATTTAAACTTAATTGGAAGCCAAAATTAAAAATCACAGCTTTAATAATCTTTACCATTCCTTCCCATGAATAAATAGGCTAATACAAGTGCCGATCCATAGTGAGGGAAAGGGTCATGAAATTTAATAAAATTTTCTGGTACAAATTTAAAATTTTATTAAAAAGTTAATAGGATACAGGGTGCAACAATCGACAAATGTGTGCGCATTTCATTAAGACACAGAAAAACAAACATCACGTTTCTTTAATTTTGCCTATGTAAACGTTGCCGTTTGATTAAGATTTTTCAAAACAAACGCGTTACTTCAGCAATCTTTTCAAAATAATTTTACGATTAATAGTTTTTTATTGGAAAACAGTTAATTACAGAGACTTTTTTTTAAAAATGCCTAAACATAATTACTTTTTTCAATAGCGTCACTATTAAGTAAAATAAATAGAAAAAAGTAATTATGTTTTAGCATGGTTTTTGCATGCGCTCACAAAAGTAAGTTAGTTTTACTTAAAATAGATGCTTTTGCAAAAACTTCATAAGAAACCGTCCTTTAACAATTTGATTGCTTTATTTTATTGAACAAAACGTACATAATGTTTAAACTTGGTTTCTCTTCTGTTTTTGCAATTACATTAAAGTATAAAGCAATAATTTCATTATAAATAAAATTTATAATGTTAATTTTTATATATAATAAACTATAAATATATTATATAATGTTAGAAATTGTGCATGCTTTTTTTTTTAATTTTCTTATCTTTCATAAACTGAAATAATGTATGTTTGCATATTAAAAACACATTTAAAAGTTTTTTTTATTGTGCGTTTATCATTAATTTGCGCTTTGCAAAAGTGTAAATTAAAGTTTTTTGAAAATTGAATAAATTTACCAAGCATCTTTGATATATTTGATAACTTATTAACTAAAATAAAAATTATTTGAAACTTGTTTGACATAAATTTCTTACATAAGATGTTCGTCAATAAATAAAGATACGCAAGTCAACGTTCATTAAAAAAAAAACGGTAAGTCACGCCCTGGGATAAAAAATAGTTGGCAAATGTGACTATTTTTAGATTATTGTAATTCTTTTTTTAGTATATAATTTCTTTATTAGAAATGATCGTTTTATGATAAAATGGCTTGTAATTATTTTTTGATTTACTTATTTTGCTTCTGTACTCATTTTGCCTTAAACTCTAATCTGAATATTTTTTTCAACAATTGCTTTTATTAAGTTGCATTAAAGTACTCAGGAAATTTTGTGGGAGTTTAATTGTATTTATGGAAGCAATTAAATTAAAAATCGCATTTGTTTTCTTTTAGCGCATTTTTTAAACTCGTTAATAATCGAAACGTGCAAAGAGCCGTGGTCAAGTTGTTAAAACAAAGAACTATTTGCGTGGTCATATAAAGCGTCCGATCGCACGCCTCTTACGAGAAGACCTGTATATATATATATATATATATATATATATATATATATATATATATATATATATATATATATATATATATATATATATATATATATAACAATAAATCAAATAATATGAATTCATTAGTAAATTTTATTGCTCTAGAAAAAAAAGACATGTCAATATAAAATATAATAAAAAACTTGGATTTAATTTCGCATTTTATGATTTTGTGTGTGTGTGTTTATATATGTATGTACATATGCCTGAACGCATGTATGTATATATGTATGTATGTATGTATGCATGTATGTATGTAGGCATTTTTATTTAAAACAAGATATCTTGTACAGTTCTTTTGACATTTTTTTGAAAGTATGTTTACAAATATCTTATTAATAATTGATAAAATCCATCTATAAATTGTTTATATTCTTTAATAAAATAGTTTATAATAAATTATATAAACATAAATACATGAAAAATTAAAACAAATACATTATGATAAACAAACAAAAGATAATGTTATAAGATTATGTAAAAAGATAAGTATAAGATTGCTTTAAGTAATAAATTTTAAGGAAAAATAATCTTTTTCAATTATTGAATTTAGATTTCATTAGTAATTTTTGTTATATTAGATTAAATGATTTTTAAAGTGATTTAAAATGAAATTAAATTATGCTATAATACACTAATGATGCAATTTATGCTACTTTATAATACACTAATGATCATAGATGAGTATTTGACTTTATGAAAATCCTGGAAATTTTTTTTCTTTGATAATCCCGGAAACGAGTGGTTCTGAGTTCGATCCCCACCACGTCCCTGGTAGTACCGCGCTCAACTCGTTTCTCCGCGCAGCGGCCTTGTTTGTCAAGGTTCGTGTTTCGGAGTTATAGAGTTGAAAGAGGGTTATAGCCACAAATAAGTAGCCTCCTCGTCTGTAGTGGCCTTCTCGGCCTTGAGGAGGTGAATTAAAAAAAAAAAAAAAAAAAAAAAAAATCCCGGAAAATTGTTTTATTAAAAATTGATCGCATTTAACTGACAAACGGAATTTAGATTATTTTAAAACGGAATTTATACTAATTAATTTTTTACAAAAAGGAATTTCTAATATTCGAAAAAGTTTGAATTAATTAAAAGGCAAAAAAAATGAAGAAAAAAAATTGTTACAAAAATCGATCTTGTAAAAATTTTGTTTATAGAAAACATATTTGTTTAAATGCAAAAGTTGTTGTATGTAAAATTTTATGTAAAAACATATTAATTTTTTTTCAAATTAATATCAAAAAAACATCCGGAAATTCCTGGAAAAATTAAAGGTGTTTTATGTGAATTTCCGGAATTCCGGGAATTTCCGGAAAAAACTCATCTATGAATGATGCAATTTAACTTTTAACGATATTAAAGCTGAGTTAAAGTTAAATTTATTAGCCTTAAGCGCTTACATTATGCAATCAAATCTCATAACAAGGCCTGATGCGTGGTCAGAAAAGGCGTCTGGCTGCATGTTTTTTCTCAGAAGGCTTGATATATATATATATATATATATATATATATATATATATATATATATATATATATATATATATATATATATATATATATATATATATATATATATATATATATATATATATATATATATATATATGAAAGACAGAGGAGTTTAAAAGCATAAAAATTCATTTAAACTAATTGTACTTATTTTAAAACAAAACAAAAAAAAACTTTAATAACTTATTTTAAATATATCTTTTCTATTATTACTTCATTATCAATTAATTTCTGATTTAAAACATTTAAATTTTTAAATAAATAAATTCCTCTAAGTTCCCCCCTAAACAAAGATCGATTTTAACGTTTTATATGATGCACAAATAGCTTTAGTATAAAAAATGTTTAAATTTACAGTGTAAATTTTTTGGAACTTTAGTAATTTTTTTTCTTCTACAACTTTTTTATTTATTTATAAGACCTAAATTACCTGGTGCTAACAAACAATAATTTAAAAGATGTAATTTTGACTTATTATTTTAGCAATTGGTAAATTTATTGTTTTGTTTTATCATTAGTTTTTGTAATATCGTAATTTGACCATCTTATTAAAACAGTGATCAAGGTTTTTAATAAACTGAGAATTTAAGGACCAGAAACATTTCCAGACATCGCAATTCGCAATCACTTAATTTGAGCCTCGTATATTCACACATAAATATATATACACACAGACAAATATATTTTTGTATAAACATATTTGGATGGATAGACTTTTCCAAAATTCTTGAATTTATATATAATTTAATAATATTTAAGTTATTTTGAGCTTAAAAATAATTGTTTTATCATAAATATATCATATACACAAAATTTTTCAAATATAATTTAAATATTATAATTTTTTTTAAATAGGTAAAATTTTGATTATTATCTTAAAACCACTCAAAATTAAACTAAAATATTCCTTTTTTTATTCACTGACACTTCAAAATCTGATCCTAAATTATAACAACG